AGGGCTGCAGGGTAGCTCAGTGGTAGAGCGCTTGTCTGACATGCTTGGGGGCCTGGGTTCAGTCCCTGGCACCGGGGGAAAAAAGAGAAGAAAATGTGCACATATGAACACAAGGCTCTGTGAGAGAAGGGGCCTTTTCAAGGCATGAATTCTGAGAGTAAATTTTCAAGGACATTTTTTCACAAATCTTGAAAACTCTGTTGAATTTTAGCCATTGTCATAAGAACAATTAGAATATAATAAAATGTTTCCTGAGCAAAATGGGGTGTGATTGTGTAGAATGAAGTTTCAAAGAAGCTTAAGCATCTAGTCACGGCCTATTTACGAATAAGTCTGTTTATTTAAAAATATATATTTGTATGGCTTACAGATCTGCTCTGGTATTTCTGTTATACTTTCCCTCTGGAGCCACTGACAGCACATTTCACTTTTCCAGATGTTTTACCTGTCATTCTACCAAAGCAACAAGACCACATTTAAAACGTAAAATGTGATAGCAATGATAGCTGGCAATTATTCCCCAGGTTGACTCAGAAGTCACTCTAACAAAAACACACATTAAATAGTATTGTATGAATGGTGCTAGCGAGGCCAACTGCATTTACTACGGTTGGCTTTGTCTGTATCACAGGTTGGTTACAAAAGACCTCTCAGAAGCAACTTATGTTAAGAAGTTACTGCACTCATGCTGCAAGGATAAGCGCTTCATTTCTGAAGGAAACACTCTGATTTTGTGTGTTGAAATAGTTGAGGAAGAGAGAAAATTATTTTACATTGAGGTCACCATTCAGAAAAGTTTTTTTTCCAAATATATATGCATCATATGCAAAGCAGTCCATAGTGAAGTTCTAATATGCTCTCCCATTTATGTTAATGGAGCTCTCAATTTATGAATTTGTTATATACTTGAGGACTCTTTTAGATACTTCTAGAAAAAAAATACAGGATTACTGATTAATTATTAACTACTACTAGAGTTATTCAGAGGTAAAAGGAAATATAATCATAAATGATTATTTCCGTTTTTTTCTAAGAATTTTGAAAATCTCTATTTTCATTTTCATTGATTGCCAGCCCAATCTGATCTAATAAGGCTTCCTAGTCAGATACGTGGAAACACACACACACGCACATGTGAGTGAACGCAGTACATAGGTGAAGAGAAACTTGGGAGCCTCCCAGGGATCCTTGCAACACTTTATGACAACCAAATGTAATAATCAAGTTTTGTGAGACTCAATGAAAAATCCATTTCTTGGCCCCAGTTACCACACGGATGGTCATTTGTTTCAGAGCCATTTTCATTTGATCTGAATTCCACTCTATTTAAACTGTCTACAGAGTCAGGAAATAAACACTTTGTCCCTAGGTGGCTCTCCTTCTTGTGTCAAGAAGAAAGAAAAATTACTTTCTAGAAAATAAGCTATAGGCTTTATTCTGATGTCAGAATCGACCAATTTTCTCCTTTGCTTTCTTTCTTTTGGTAACATAGTGTAGTTATATAAAAAATAATTTCTTTTTGACTAAACCAGTTGCTATTCAGTAACCTAGATATGGCTCATAGTTTAGTTCCTTTTAAAACTTATTTGTTATGATGCTATAAATAATTTCCTATTTCCCTAATTTTTTCTCAAACATGTGGGTTTTAAAGCCATTCAAATCACCTTTTGTTTTGGTTGGTTTTTTTTCCTTATGAAAACAGATGATCAGCAAGGATTAACTGAGGTTGTAGAATCCTTAATAGCTTTCATGAGATTTAGATAATTTTGTGAATTCCCACTGCACACTTTTATACACACACAAGCACGCTGAAGGCAAAGCTAAATGTGGTTTCATCTCAGGATCACTATGCCTTTTATTACAGGCATATGGGAGGAAGGAAGAAGGGAAGGAAGGAAGAAAATGGATTTTTGCCTCATTTGAAGTTAACAATAGATTTAAAAAGCACAAGTGTTAGATGATTATTTAGTGGCTGCTAGATTTTAAAAACTTAATTTTTGTTGCTTTCTTATTTTGGTCAGTGTCACAAATGATCAAGTGGTCATATACACAGACTTTGGCTCAGAGTGAACATGATTTCACTTGTCTTCATAACTGACTGACCACTACAAGTGAAATGAGCCAAAGGAGGGGCTATGAGGTACCTTTTTTGTTCATTTCACAAATTTAAAAACCTTGAAGTCTAAAAAATTTTAAAAATCCCCAAATCTTTCTTTCAAATAAAGTAATTCCTTGCTTTGGTATATTATATTTATTCTCAAACACAGAACTTAGCATATGAAAATAAATAGGCTTATGTTACTTGCAGGTAAATATTTACACTGCACAGAGAGGACACTCAATTCTTTTACACATTTGTGAAGGTGACATAAGCACATGATTCAATATTGTGCTGTTTCTTAAATCATAATCACCTGTTGACACACAATGTAGCTGGACAGTTTGGTAAGAACAAGAATTCTGGGAATGTGGCTTCTTCTTAAATAAAACCCCCACCAGTGCTGGAGTGAATGCCACATGAACAGGAGAGAGGTGACAGAGGGTATAAAATAAATAAAAGAAGTGAAATAGGGCTGGGGCTGTAGTTCAATAATAGAGCATTCACCTAGCATGTGTGAGGCACTGGGTTCAATTCTCAGCACCATATATGAATAAATAAAATAAAGGTCCATTGACAACTAAAAAATATTTTTAAAAAATGAAATAAAAGACTTTGGTATATAAGTTCTGGTTCTACTTCTCAAAAGACTATGTTTTCGGGAATAACCCAAGTAATAAAGTAAAGAAGCTGGTTAGTTTTTTTCATTTTTCCAAAGTCCTAAATAAATTGTGTCATGTGGGATAGCAACTAGAAACAAAACCAAAACTACCACTATGCAAAGACTCAGTCTGGTTACACCACTGATGAAAAGTACCTGGGAATCTTGGCAGATATCAACATTCTAGCTTGTCTACTGAAAAACACTGTCACACACACACACGCAGGTGGACTTACGAGCTTTGGCTCAGACAGAGCCAGGTGATGTCCATTGGGCATTTTATTCCTGTGAGTTCTCTACAAACATCCTGAGAGGAGATAAGTCTAGATTGACTGAGTCTGCCTACAAAGAGAAGCCCAAGTAGATTTCACCAGAGTAATTTTCTTCTGCAGGCTTCTGAGCCATCGCATTAGTGCCATGTCCCCACAGAAAGCCCAGTTGAAGGTCGCAGAAGTCGTTTGTGCTTCACCCTCTCTAAATGACTTGCAAATTTATTCAAACACAATATGAGGGGATGCTTTATTTGTTGAAATAACTGTCTGCAGTATCCTGCACTAAAGGGTGAGGTACATCAAGCAGAAACATGGACAGAAATACATTGGTTTAGAAACCCATAAATCCTTATTTGAATCTGCCAACCTGAAAGCTACAAAGAGCTTGAATAAACTATTTACCCTAAATGCTACATCTGATTAAGCCATACCATTAAATGACAGCTGAACTTTAACATTAATATGATATTATTTAAATAACCACATGATTTTTTTACACTAAAAATGATGAATGATTTCTGGACAGCTCAATTGACATAAAGCAGGAGGACTCTTTAATGAGATTTGACAAAATGGAGACATATGCAGAATATTCGTTACAGCTCACATCGCAGGGGCCCTCCCAGGAAAGCAGTGAAGGTTTTTTCCCTTTCTTTTTTTTTTATTGTCTTTAGGCACTGAAGCATTCCTTTCAATCACCAGTTCCCTTCTCTGTAGGTTTTGAGCTTTTCTCAAGTCATTTACTAACTATTCTTTTTTTTTTTTTAATATTTATTTTTTTTAGTTGTAATTGGACACAATACTTTATTTTATTTATTTATTTTTATGTGGTGCTGAGGATCGAACCCAGGGCCTCACATGTGCTAGGCGAGTGCTCTATCGTTGAGCTACAGCCCCAGCCCCATTACTTACTATTCTTGATCAGAGAATTTGGTGGTTATGGCTCTGAGTTGGAGCAGTGTGTCCAGGGAAAGAAGGAGCAATGTGGACACTAGGCTGGCAGTGCACAGGGGACTTTGAGCTCATTTCTGATCAGGTTGAGAGATCACATCAATGTTTATGGCGGAACAAATGTACATTGAATAGTTTCTTATACAATAAATCTTCAACACAAGAGATAATTTTAGCAAATTACTGTATATGGATACATAATCAGGGAAGGCTTTGCTATTTTGAAATAGTTGTTTCTTCAGTATCAACTATAATGAAGATTTTCTTCCTTAACATTCCAATCAAGCTCTCCTAGAGATCAGTTACAATATTCGTGACTCACTTTTCCATTCACAGTTCCAAATGGGCATCGTGGTGCCAGATGATACTCTTACCTGGTAGATCTCAAGTGGAAAATCATTCCATGCTGAAAATACTTACATAGAACAGACCAACTCTGATTCATATCTCTTTTTTATACTTTCCCGAATATTTTCCGTCAATCAAAGTTTAGTCACACACAGAAAACATAAAGATTTGTTTGCTAGCACACATGAATTCAGATTATTCAGATAATATTGACATTTTATAAATCATCTTGAATTATATACATTAAATAAAAATGTTTCCCCAAATGGAGTCCTTTTAGAGAAATGAAAACGAGGCAAGAAAGAGCCAGGCTGAGTCCAAGTGAGCTCCTGCCGACGCAGGCTGCGCTCCCTCCATCAAAATAGAAAATAAACTCAGGCTGCTCCTGCCATGGGGCCTTCCTCAGGCTATGAAAGCATTCTTCATGTCTAACCCTAATTTTTCCATAGCTTGAGGTAACCCCGCTAGCTCAAGCCTTCTCTCTAATAGGAGTTACTCAGTATGTGTCCCTGTCCAAATAAGAGTTACAATCAGCGCTCTATTATTTCAAAAGTGTCTAGACACAGGGGAAGGGGGTAGAAGCTTGCAAGCCTGTAAAATGCCTGTTTGCAATTAGATAAAAACAGCAAAAGAGACAGGAGAGGAAGGTCGGTCCCTACCTTGCTCTTACCTTCGCAACATCCCCGTCAGAATCCTGGAGCTCTTCCCCAAGTTTGCATCTGTTTCCCGAAGCTAGGAGGAGAAGAGCAGCATTAAAACTCAACTCAACTACAAATGATTAGATTATTTCTAAAGTACATGGCGAGCAATCATTTTCTATCATTTTATTTCACGATATAAAAGCCAAACAATAAAAAATGTTTATATACACAGCACAAATACATTTATGACACTTATGCAAACTCTGAGAATTCTTAGATTTAGAAAATGACATGTGAGAAGTGATGTCAGGAGCTCTAAACTGGATACTTGAACTGGATATAAAAGCAAATGTCTCAAAAGCTGACAAAGTTTAACATACATCTGGTAATTAATCTCTAATGTACAAAATGTACAAACTCCTAAAAATATAAGTGGGAATAAATGAAGCAAAGAGGGCGGAATCATCAGTATTTTTACCGAAAGAGTGACATATTCCAAAATCCACCTCAATGACCTTCTTCTCAGCCAGAGGGCTAAATAAAATCCCCCTGTGGGCATTCCAGATGGGGAGAGTCAGCTGCTTTGCCCCTATCTGGCACTCTTCCTTTTCCTCCTAGTAGATGTTATGTTCCTTTCTCCCTAGTCACTTCTATACGTATGTACTTATGTCTATGTCATGGTTCTGTCTGTGCATGTCCGAAGGACCTTCTATGTCTTCTCATTTATTAGATATGTAGAAGGATAGTGTCATTTGTACTTACTCTTTCCCGTGCTCGTTGTATCTTTTCTCTGTCATGACTGAGGTTTTCCAACATCTCCTGGCCGATTTGTTCTATTGAAAAGAAAATGAAAGTCAGGAAACACAACTTGGGGTGCATGTGAGAATAACCTTCCGTAGTACCAAACTGAAAACGGAGGTAGAATTAAAGCTGAAGCAATGTCCATTATATATCAGACACACATTTTAACTCAGGTAGAGTTGAAAAATATAAATAGTATTTGGTAAATTTACCTATCTGGAGTATGATTAGATACAAGTTATAATTCAACCTACAGGAAGGACATAACCAACACAGCAGTAATGACTTATTGGGGATGCAACTTGCACAAGGCCACTCCAACAAACTACTGGCAAAATTGAGGAGAAACCAGGTACAGTGGTCTATTATTTTGTCACCCGGGAGTTTGGCCTTTGGATTTTATGGGCAAAGGATAATGTTAATGATTCCGCTCCACCTTCCCTTCATCATGGTACTGCTTTGCCTGTGTAAGTCAATGTGTGTTTAGAACAATTTTGATTTCAATGTATTCCCCTGGCATAGGTGGTCATATGCTCACCAACTGTAGCTTGTTGGTAGTGGAACTTTTGCTAGTTTTATACTCACCTAGAGGCAAAGACTTGTTTAATGTGTTATTAGCTACAGTATATTCTTTTTTTTTAAATATATTTTTAGTTGTTGATAGACCTTTTTTATTTATATTTATTTATTTATATGTGGTGATGAGAATCGAACCCAGTGCCTCACACATGCCAGGCAAGTGTGCTACTGCTGAGCCACAGCCACAGCACTACAATAGATTCTTGAGGCAAGTCAAAGACAGATGCACTCCTTAACAAGTAATTGAGGAGAGCTTAAGACAGTGTTTTCCCCCCAGAACTTCCAAACATTTAGCTAGTACTACAGCTCAGCACATTCATTAAAAGCCACACTGCTAAGTTCCAATGAAATCTTTCCTGGTCACAATCATCTCATTTGGCTGGCACTGCAGTCTCTCCTCTGACTGTAGACCTTTCTATAAGACAGTAGGTGTGTCCTGACCTCACAAATATCCAGCTGCCTTCAATAGATTTTTTTTTTTTTCAGAGTCATCCTCTATTAGCTGGGAGCTACCTTATTCTCTAAAAGAAGAATGACGATCTGCCTTTCTTAGGATCCTGGCAGCCTGTCTGACTTCCTCATCAGTGTCTCGCTCCCACTCACCTTTTTCCCCTCTGGTATTGTCTCTTTACGCTCCCCAACACAGCACTCATCTCTGGCTTATCAACTTACACAAACGTTCACCAAGCACCTATTATAATAATAGCAAGTAATTTAATAAAGTCATCAGGACATCCCCATGGTACTTAATTTGGCTCATGTATTCACACTGACAATCATAAGAGCAGTGACCAGGCCAACTGAGAGCCTGGCTGTGAACCTGTGCTGCTGGAGCCTAAATCCCAGTGTTGACACTAACCGCGTGGCTTTGCCTTAGCTGGCTAGCTGTGTCATGTCTCAGTTGCTTAATCTCTAAAATGAGAGAAATACCCACAGCATTATATCATAGGGTTAATGCAAGGGTTCGATAAGATAATCAACACAGTGACTGGCCCATAACAACAATAAGCATTTATTGAATGATGATGATATAAAACAATCAATGGCCTGTGGAGACCCGCTTCTACTCTAGTTCTGTTGGAAGGACAATTTTATTCATATGATACAATGTTTGTACTTTCTCACAAATTTGATATTATAGTCAAATAAACTAATCTGAGTAAAAATGTGGAAGCTCTAGAGTATCATACCGATGCATGACATTTTAAGATTCAAAGCACTGAACAAATAACCATCGGGTCCCCACCCTGTGCTGGGGTCTGGCCCAAGACAAGACCTAGCGTCTGTACTCATGGAACTATGCTGGAAATGAAGACAGCACAGAGGAGTGTTTTAGCTGAGTCTGTATTTCATGGCATATCAGAAAAAGACAGTTTAATACTTTCATGACAGAAAATCCAACTAATAATGGTTACATACATAATCATAAATATATTTTTGACACCACACAAACTCTGAAAATTCTTTCCCAGTATATATAGTACATTCCCAGTAAAGTACCTTCTCTTAGATTTTTTTTTTTCTTTTTAGCTCTTTAGTATTAACTTTATACAAATTTAAGAAGATAACGGAAATAAGAGTTGAACTTTTTTCTTTTTTTTTACAATAAAAACTACAAATTTCAAATTTGTCATGCTGTTTTTTAAAAAATATTTATTTTTTACTTGTGGTTGGACATAATACCTTTATTTTATTTTACTTATTTTTATGCAGTGCTGAGAATAGAACCCAGAACATCACATGTGCTAGGCAAGCACTCTACCGCTGAGCCACAACCCCAGCCCTTGTCATGCTGTTTTTATTGCTACACTGAATTCCTTTAATCAACTTAATATAGCAATTTTAATTACTTTTTAACTTAAAATTTCCAATATCTATGAGCATCATCAATCTTGTCATTATTTCAGCAAGATACCTCCTCTTATCAGGATTGACATAATAATATGTAATTGCAAAGAAATAGAAGACAGATTATTACTATTGTGTCTGTGGCCAGTGTAATGTCCCAAGTAAGTATTCAAGGAAAGAATTAACAAATGAAGTCTATGGAAGGTTTGCAGCCTCTTCCTGCTCTCAATCCATGAGCTAGAGAAGGGATACTGGAAAGTAGATAATAGAGCCACAATTCTATCAGACTTGCTGGGGAAAAACCCCTAACTGGATCTGCAGTCTAGTGAAGAAATCAATGGAAAAAGAGGATGGCACTGGAGAAGATAATGCTAAGTGAAGTTAGCCAATCCCCAAAAAACAAATGCCGAGAATGTTTTCTCTGATATAAGGAGGCTGACTCATAATGGGGTAGGGAGGGGGAGAATGGGAGGAATAGATGAACTCTAGATAGGGAAGAGGGGTGGGAGGGAGGGGGAGGGGGCAGGGGATTAGCAAGGATGGTGGAATGTGACAGACATCATTATCCAAAGTACATGTATGAAGACACGAATTGGTGTCAACATACTTTATATACAACCAGAGATATGAAAAATTGAGCTGTATATGTGTAATAAGAATTATAATGCATTCCACTGTCATTTATTTTTTTTAAAAAAATCAATTAAAAAAAGAAATGAAATAAAATGACTGATTTGTAAGGAAAAAAAAAAAGAGGCCAAGAGATGAGGCCTGTTCGGAGTCATAAGCTATTCCTACAATTACACTGCTCCCCCAAATGGTGCGGCAATCCCAGTATTCACCTTATCTGGCAAGAGAAGAGATACTGGCAAGACCGGACACATTTTGGTCTTAACACTGAAATACCATGCATTTGTTGGGAATTCTTTTCTCATTTATTCCCTTCTACTTTTCATTTTAATGCTCTAAAAAAGAAAATTATTAAACAGATAGATTAGAAGTGGTCATTCCTGTGGAATGAAGAAAAAATTCATATAAAAAGAAAGTTATTACTATTTCCTCATTACATATCAAGCAAAGCAAGATGACAAATGACAGGCTTTTTGTTTGTTTGTTTGCTTGTTTTGTGGTGCTGGGGATTGAACCAAGGGCCTCATGCATGCCAGATGGGTGCTCTACCACTGAGCCACATCAGAGGTATGACTTTTATTCAGACTATCATTGGTCAGACTAGAATTCAACATTTAGGGATTATTTCATTAATAAGACAGTTAGTAACATTGTTAGGTTTATTTTTTCTTGAAAAATTTAATACATAATCACTACCCAAAACACTCATAAACAAAGAACACAAGCTCACAGGCCTAAACCTACTGAGTCAAAATTTTTAGTTCTTTGAACTTCCATAGGTCCTTTAATGGGAACAGCTCTACTGCATCTTTTGAAATAATCTGAGATATAATAAATTTTACAAATACTATATTTGATGACCATAAGGATCTTACTGTGATTTAGAAACAATGGAAAGCACAAAAGAAAACTAAAACTAATCTTTGTATGCTGGAATTCTACATGTCAGTATGGCATGATAAATGAATTCCTGGAAGGAAGAGTTCCTTCCTGTAGTTCTATCCTTTCCACAGAGGTCCTGGGAATTATCCTGGGAGTACAGCATTCAAACACATAAAATGAACTGTTGTTTTTACAATTACCTACAATCAATCATATCCTTGGTCCATAGCCCTTTTTACAGGGGCACATACTCGAAAAGGGTTTTTGGCTAACATTTCTTCTCTTCCTTCATGTTTTGGAAGGTGTATACAACAGACATTCAATAGTTTCCAGTTCCATAAAGGAATTGAGAAGGGAGCAGGTAACTACCAACCTTGCAAAATGCTTCCTGAAGCACTGGCCTGCCATCATAAAACGAGACAAGACTTAGTTTAAGAAAGTTTGAAGTAATACAAGTTCCCATCATGTTGTACATACACTTATATGAAGGGGAAGGGCCTCAAACCCAGCTCACCAGAAAATGCCCCATCTGACAAATTCAAAATATAAAAACAAATTTTAGCCATGATATTACAAACAATGCACTCTCCACAAGATACTGATTATTCCCCAGCAAAACTGTATTTAACTTTCTTTTTAAAAAACTTGTTAAGAATGTGTTTTCCAGCTGGGTGTGATGGTGCATGCCTGTAATCCCAGTGGCTCAGAAGGCTGAGGCAGGAGGATCACGAGTTCAAAGCCAACTTCAGCAACTGTGAGACGCTAAACAACTCAGTGAGACTCTGTCTCTAAATAAAATACAAAATAGAGCTGGGGATGTGGCTCAGTGGTTGAGTGGTCCTGAGTTCAATCACTGGAATGTGGTTTCCAACAAATTATTTTAGAAGGCGAAGGCAGCCAGTTGAGTCTTCTTTACAATGTTAGGAGAAGATAAGGCACTGGAAAACTTCATAAGAATTTTAGGAGTAGGTGAAAGGTGTTCACAATTACCAAGCTACTGTTTGTATGTGGGGACCTCTTTGAAGTACAGGAGTGCTTGTCAATACCATAAGGAGCTGTTCTGAAGCATGAGTTTTTGTATGTGGATGGCAGA